TCTTATGTGCTGATCCTCAGGGCTGTCTTCAAGCTGCCCACCAAAGACGTCCAGCGCAAAACTCTCAGCACCTGCGGCTCCCACGTCTGTATCATCCTCTTATTTTACATCCCAGCCTTTTTCACTCGCCTAAGCCACTGCTTTGGTCAGAACATCCCTAAACAAATTACCATCCTGCTGGCCAATTTCTACATGCTCGTCCCCCCCATGCTGAACCCCGTTGTTTACGGGATGAAAACCAAACAGCTGCGGGAACAAGTGAGCTTTGTGTTGTCTCGGAAGGGGAATTGGTGCTAAATGGTGCCTAGTCCTGAACCATCTGACTTACCAGCAAGCCTCTTCCACATTGCAAGAAGAGGGCCCCTCGGCACCGACACATGGACGTTACCACTCTAACTCCCAGTTGCAAAACAGACTTTTTCAGCTCCTTGGATGTTTTGTTGTACGTCCAGGTGCATGGAACTACATGGGTCCTTCTTCATAGAAGGCTGGGGGGCACTGGGAGAGTGCTGATAAAAGTCTCCACATGTTGTAAAGGTTCTTACCAAGAGGATGTTGATTTGTGGAACTCCTTGCTAGAGGATGTTGTGACAGCCAAGAATATAACAGAGTTCAAAAAAGAGCTAGATACATTCATGGGGGTTAGGTCCGGTGTCTCCAGTCTCTGCCAGAAGATGTGAATGGATGGCAGGGGATGGATCATTTGTTGATTCCCTGTCCTGTTCATTCCCTCTGGGGTACCTGACACTGGCCACTGTCAGACTAGAGGACACCGGGCTAGGTGGCCCTTTGTTCTGAGCCAGCGTGGCCGTTCCTGTGCATGTTCCAATTGTTCTCCTGGCCCAGTGACTGCAGGGCATGAGGCAAGAGGTCAATGGGGGGCAGGGTGCTTGGGGGCAGCTCTTAGGAAAACCTTTCCATCGCTCAGAGTAGCTGACACCGATACGGGGCCCAGGGAGGCTGTGGAACCCCCGTCACTGGAGAGATGTGAGACCGGGCTGGGCTCAGGGCTGACGGGATCGGTTTCACTGGCCCTGCCTCAGCGCCGGGGCTGGACGATACGACCCGGCGAGGCCCCTGGAGCCTGACGTCTCTCTGCAGCGCTGAGCACTGATCTGCTGAGGGGGCCGGGCCTGTTTCTTGCCCCTCGCCACGGAAAGGAATCCCTTCTCCTTGCCCTGTCGCTAGGCGCCCTTCAGCCTCCCCGCCCAGCCCCTCTCCTGGGCTCGCCTCCCCTCACAGCTCGAAGGCCAGGCCTCCACGTTGGGTTTGCTTTCATTGGCCAGTGGAGCCATTGGGGGCAGGGTGAGACAGGGGAGCCCCTCCCCCGCCAGGGATGCGCAGGCCAATGGTATAAACATCCCCCCGTATCCGCATCGGTCAATGTGACCAGGCCCAGCCCCTGAGCAAACGGCACCAGGGCAAGTAGCATCTTCAGTGCCCCCCCCATTTGGTCCCCTGTGGAATCCCTTCTTTGTATTGCCCCTGCAGCCTGTCTCGTGCTTGGACGCGCTCACATGCACCATTCAAAGCCTGTGCACGAGGAGCTGTACAGCTGTGTTGCTCTGGGTCATAGGACAGCAAATAAAAACCCTGTTTCCTCAAAGCTTCTAGAAACTATTTCAGTTGCAGAAGGACCGAATTGTCCCAGCAGACCCAGGGGAGTGCGCCCAGCGCGGGGTGGGCCGGCGGGAGATCCTAGTCCTGCACTGCAAGAGGTTGCTATTCTCGCCTGTGCCCGTGCGCACTGGTGCAGAGCGTCCGACCCAAAGCCTGGCCCCAGGCATTGCCAAGCTGTGAAGTGGAGAGAACAGATGTGTGTCTCCATAACTGCCCCGTCCAGGGATGCGCGGGGCGAGGGCAGGGTGCTGTGACCTGCGCTCTGGGCAGGGGATCCGGGCTCTGCAGGTGTCTGTAGAACAAAGGCCCCCGTGGCCACTGCCCATCACAGACTCCAGGGCAACGTTCCCCCGGTCGGTGTCCCTGGCACGGAGGAGTCGCCCATCCGGCTCCCCACCCGCCTTTCCTCCATGCGCATTATCCCACACATGGAATGGAATGTGGATCAATGCAACGTAATGCACATTGGAGTCACTGTGGAGCGTTCTCTGAAAGCCTCCACCCAGGCTGTGTCTAGACGACTGGGCTTTTCCTACTGCTTCTACTGACTAAAATCTCCTTTATTTTGTATCAAACCCAGTGTAAATAATAGTTACCTGGGGGGGGGGGCAACCAGTGTGCACATTCCCCCTTCCATTGTTAACGGGGGCTCACCCTTATCCAGTTCTTCGGGGTCTGATCCTATTTGGGGAGGGGTGTCCCAGGGAGCTGGGCCCTACACTGCACTCGCCTTGGACCTGAAGAGGTTCCGTGTCTGTGCTGCTTCTCGGTGGGGGCAGGGACCTCAGCTCGGGGCCTTGGCCGGGGGAGACCAGGGAGCTGGCCCAGCAGGACCGGGTGGGGAGGAGCCCTCGAAATTGGGAAGGAGAATGGCAGTGGCCGTGTTGCAATTTGTGCGGGAATCTTCTTGCCGCCCACAGGACCAGCCCTGTG